CCCGTGAATCCTATGACAGTTCGTCCCTCAGGGACTTGCCAATTAGGATGGCATGATGCATCTTGTACAGTAGCAACACTTAGTCTATGTATCAAAGAAAGAGGGGAGCAAGTCATACCTGTTGCCGTTTGACCATCACTTAGTCGTGACTGGCCATTAACCCTACGGCACTAAGGCCTCATTTTACTCCAAAGCCACCGTGTGCACTATTGTACTAAAGGATGATGATAGGGTTTTTAGGATTTTAGGGTTTAGGATTTCGGAGATTTTAGGGTTTAGGGGGTTTTAGAGTTTTTAGAGTTTAGGGTTTAGGGTTTAAAAGTTTAGGGTTTAGAGTTTAGAGTTTTTTATAGTTTAGGTTTGGTTATAGGGTTTACGGTTAGTGTTTTAGGGTTTAAGGTTTAGAGTTTTTTTATAGTTTAGGGTTGGTTTTTAGGGTTTAAGGATAGGATTTTTAGGGTTTAGGGATTTTAGGGTTTAAAGTTTTGGGGATTTTAGGGTTTAAGGTTTTTTTTTTAAAAGATTCATCTTATTTATAAACAAAACAGAACCGAACAAAGTCTCGCCAAGGCCCAAAACTGACCAAGGCTACAAAAAAAAAAAATGACAAGGCCCAAAAGTGACCAAGTTTAAGGTTTAGATTTTTTTATAGTTTAGGGCTGGTTTTTAGGGTTTAAGGTTAGGGTTTTTAGGGTTTTGGGGATTTTAGAATTTAGGGTTTGGGGTTTAAGGTTTTTTAGGGTTTTTTTAAGGGTTTTTAGGGTTTAGTGTTTTAGAGTTTAGTGTTTAGGATTTTTTTAGGGTTTAGGGTTTTGGAGTTTTTAGAGTTTAAAAGTTCTTAAGGTTTAGGGTTTAAAAGTTTTTAAAGTTTAGGGTTTTTAGGGTTTAGGGTTTTGGGGATTTTAAGATTTAAGGGATTTTAGGATTTAGGGGATTTTAGGGATTTTAAGGTTTAAGGTTTAGGGTTTAGGGTTTAGGGTTTAGGGTTTAGTGTTTTAGGGTTTAAGGTTTAGAGTTTTTTATAGTTTAGGGTTAGTGTTTTAGGGTTTAAGGTTTAGAGTTTTTTATAGTTCAGGGTTAGTTTTTAGGGTTTAAGGTTAGGGTTTTTAGGGTTTAGGGATTTTAGGGTTTAAGGTTTTGGGGATTTTAGGATTTCGGGTTTGGGGTTTAAAGTTTAGGGGTTTTAGGGTTTAGGGTTTTTTAGGGTTTTTAGGGTTTAGTGTTTTAGAGTTAGTGTTTAGGATTTTTTTTTAAGGTTTAGGGTTTAGGATTTTGGAGTTTTTAGAGTTTAGGATTTAAGGTTTAGGGTTTATAGGGTTTAAAAGTTTTTAAGTTTTAGGGTTTTTAGGATTTAGGGTTTAGGATTTTGTGAATTTTAAGATTTAAGGGATTTTAGGATTTAGGGGATTTTAGGGTTTATAGTTTAGGGTTTAGTGTTTTAGGGTTTAAGGTTTAGAGTTTTTTATAGTTTAAGGTTGGTTTTTAAGGTTTAAGGTTAGGGTTTTTAGGGTTTACAGTTAAGGTTTAGGGTTTTTTTTTTTTTTAACATAAAAGGTTCCTCTTATTTATGGGTTTAGGGTTTTGGGGATTTTAGGATTTGGGGTTTAAGGTTTAGGGTTTTTTAGGGTTTTTAGGGTTTAGTGTTTTAGAGTTTAGGTTTAAGATTTTTTTAGGGTTTGGGGTTGTGGAGTTTTTAGAGTTTAGGTTTTAGGGTTTAGGATTTTTTAGGGTTTAAAAGTTTTTAAGGTTTAGGGTTTTTAGGATTTAGGGTTTAGGGTTTTGGGGATTTTAAGATTTAAGGGATTTTAGGATTTATGGGATTTTAGGGTTTATAAGGTATAAGGTTTAGTGTTCTTTTATAGTTTAGGGTTGGTTTTTAGGGTTTTTAGGGTTTAGGGTTTAAAATTTTGGGTTTAAAGGTTTGGGAATTTTAGGATTTAGGGAATTTAGGGTTTAGCGTTTAAAAGTTTTTAAGGTTTAAGGTTTAGGGTTTAGGGTTTTTTCGGGTTTAGGGTTTAGCATTTTGGGGATTTAAGATTTAAGGAATTTTAAGATTTAGGGGATTTTAGGGTTTATGGTTTAGGGTTTTTTAGGGTTTAAGTTTTTAAAAGCTTAGGGTTTTTAGGGTTTTGGAGTTTTTAGAGTTTAGGGTTTAGGATTTAGGGTTTTTTAGGGTTTAGGGTTTAAAAGTTTTTAAGGTTTAGGGTTTTGGAGATTTAAAAATTTAAGGAATTTTAGTATTTAGTGGATTTTACGGTTTAGGGTTATAAAGTTTAGGGTTTAGAGTTTTTTAAGGTTTAGGGTTTAGGGCTTTTAGGGCTTTGGAGTTTGTAGAGACTAGGGTTTAGATTTAGGGTTTAAAAGTTTTTAGGGTTTAGGGTTTGGGTTTAGGAATTAGGGTTTTGGGGATTTTAAAATTTAAGGGATTTTAGGATTTAGGGGATATTAGGGTTTAGGGTTTTTTATAATTTAGGGTTAGTTTTTAGGGTTTAGGTTAGGGTTTAAGGTTATAGTTTTAGGGTTTATGGGATTTTAAGATTTAGGGGATTATAGGGTTTAGTGTTTTTAGGGTTTAAGGTTTTTTTTAGTTTAGGGTTGGTTTTTAGGCTTTAGGGTTTAGGATTTTAGTGATTTTAGGATTTAGGGGATTTAGGGTTAAAAAGTTTTTAAGGGTTTAGGGTTTAGGGTTTTTAGAGTTTAGGGGATTTTAGGATTAAGGGATTTTAGGATTTAGGGTTTAGGGTTTTTTAGGATTTTTTTAGGGTTTAAAATTTTTTAATGTTTAGGATTTTTAGGGTTTTGGGTTTAAAAGTTTTTAAGGTTTTGGATTTTTAGGTTTAGGGTTTAGGGTTTTGGAGATTTTAGGATTTAGGAGATTTTAAGGTTTATAAAGTTCATGGTTTCGGGTTTTTAGGGTTTTTAGGGTTAGGGTTTAGGTTTGTTTTTAGGGTTTCAGGTTAGGGTTTTTAGGGTTTAAGTTTTAGTGTTTTTAAAGTTTAGGATTTAGGATTTTTAGGGTTTAGGTTTTTAAAGCTTGGTTTTAGGATTTTAGGGTTTATAAGGTTTAGGGTTTGGGGTTTAGGGTTTAGGGTTTAGGGTTTAGGGTTTAGGGGATTTTAGAGTTTAGGGTTTAGGGTTTTTAGGGTTTAGGAGTTTTTAATGTTTAGGGGTTTTTAAAGTTTAGGAGTTTTTAGGGTTTAGGGTTTATAGGGTTTATAAGGTTTAGGGTTTATAAGGTTTAGGGTTTATAGGGTTTATAAGGTTTAGGGTTTATAAGGTTTAGGGTTTAGGGTTTAAGGTTTAGAATTTTGTAAAGTTTAGGGTTTTTAGGGTTTAGAATTTATAGTTTAGGGTTTAGAATGTATGGTTTAGTGTTTAGAATTTATGGTTTTTTAAGGTTTAGAGTTTATAAGGTTTAGAGTTTATAAGGTTTAGGGTTTTAGCATTTTAAGGTTTTAGGGTTTATAAGGTTTATGGTTTAGGGAATTTTAGGGTTTGGGGTTTATACGATATTGGGTTTTTTAGGGTTTAGGGTTTACGATTTTTTAAGGTTTAGAGTTTACGGGTTTTTATGGTTTAGGGTTTTTTATGGTTTAAGGTTTAGGAGTTTTTTAAGGTTTAGGGGTTTTTAAAGTTTAGGAGTTTTTATGGTTTAGAGTTTTAGGGTTTAGGGTTTTTTAAGGGGATTTGAGTTTTTAGGGTTTAGGGTTTTTTACGGTTTTGGGAATTTTAGAGTTTAGGGTTTAGAATTTTGTAGAGTTTAGGGTTTTTAGGGTTTAGAATTTATGGTTTTTTTTAAGGTTTAGGGTTTTTAGGAATTAGAGTTTTTTAGGGTTTAATATTTAGGATTTAAGGTTACATTTAGGGTTTAAGTTTGACCAAACATAACATAATCACATTGGCAAGGATATTTAAAGCTATCAAACAAATTAAACCAAAACATGAAAGACAATCTTTAGGCATACTCCCAGGAAAGTTGATCGAGACGAAGCTCAGTTAAATACCAACTCCTTAGACAGAGTAGTGCCGCAAGGGGACTAGTAGCAACAAAGCTTTTAATCCACGACCATAGAACTAGTATTCTTCCCCAAGAAACTTCCCTAAATCATGTGTTCTCATATTTAAAGTAAAATTGTTTGGGAAATCTATAAAATTATAGATTCAACTATGGTAGCTATGAATTGTTTTTATGCACTTTATGTGCTTTAAATAACTTTAAATGAAGCACGAGTGTTTGGGATTTTTTATTTTTTTTTTGTAAGAATTAGTGTTTAGTGTTTGGGACTTTTTTTTTCATGAAAAAAAAAATTATAGAGACTTATCCAAAAGAAACAAAAAATAGAAATTAAAAAGAAAACACAAAGGTTTACTAATTAAAAGATTTGGGACAGACAACATATCATGTAACAGTTGTAAGTCCCAAAAGAGGGGGATTTCGAATCAGAAGATGACAATAGGCATTTGAGTCATTTGCATCTTTAGTAAATGACAATAGGCATCTTTACTGTACAAGACGCTTATGACATTGACGTGAAAAGTGCCAACTTTACGCGTCTTTACTAGTGAGACGCGAAATACTGGACACTAGGCGTATTTATTTATAACATGTGCAATACAATAATTAAATTACAATATTTAACTGAAAATTCAATTGCCCAACACTTCAAACCATTAAATACATTATATAATAGAATTGTCCAACACAATAAATATAATCCTACATATTCTAACACAATTTAATATTATTATTATTATATTATTATTATTATTATTATTATTAATCCAACACTAATCTATCACAATATATATAATCTAATTCCATCTAAAACACATAATAAAAATTTATACTCCAAATTCACACATAATAAAAATTTATACTCCAAATTCAGCAAACCAAACTGTAGGTAGTAAAGACTAAAGAGGTGTAGTGTAGATAAGTTTTAAAAATGAAGCAATTTGCAAAATTCCAACAATTTCGAGCATAAAACAAGGATTCATACCTTTTCACGCTCAGTTCCATTTGAGAATCTCTCATTTGAGCTTTCTTCCAACCAATTATATGTCCATCTAATGCTTCATAAATAACCTGAAAACCATATAATCTTACTTTAGAGAAAATGTCATATCACTGATTCCCTGACATTGTAAGTTAAAATAAGCTAAATTAGCAGGCTTAGGTCATTACAAAGCGAAATTAGTAGAACAATAGATACCTCAAGAGCAGCTGAAAGAAGTTGAGATTGACCTTCTTTTCAATCAAAATTTTTAAAGAACAATAGGTGAGCAGCATGAGGAGAAGTTCAGCAAGACAGCAAAAAAAAACATATATCAGTACATCCAGTGAAGATAAGAATTCAAAAAATAGATGTTGCAATACTTGAGTACCATTTGAGGATAGATCAAACAGATCACAAACCTGAAAATGTCACGAGTACCATTTGGTGACTTTGTGCGGATAACAGCTCTTTAACGAGAAATACGCACTGGAGCTCACTACCACTGGTTTCAACAACATGTCACTAATAATTTGAGAAGAGTTTTGAAAGAAGCAAATCATAATACCGCAGCAATTGAGGGCACATCTGCACGTCTAGGTGAGCCATGGGAAACATCCATTCCAATTATAAATTTATAATTGTGGGAATCGATGGAGAATTCTCCACTACCAGCGAGGAATTTATACCACCAAGCTGTAATAAAGAGCACTTTTAACAAAAGGGAAAGTAACACATGAAAAATAAAAAACAAAAAGCACAAGAATAACAATGCACAAAGAACTCAAGCAAAGAAGTAAAAACTGGAAAAAAAATAATAAATGCTGAAAATCATTTAAAAACATAATTAAAAAAACACTCTTTAACACACAAGCAACACAAAGAAATAGGAAAACCTTAACTCCTTTCTTGATTATTTTACGAACAATTTGGATCACTTGGGAAAATCATAGAAATAAAAAAAATTAAACAAAAATAAAATAAGGGTAGCCTAGTGAAAATAATAATAATATAAGTACTAAGTAGTAATATAAACTTTGAAAACATACAATGAAAACTAGAAAACGTAGAAAGAATGTCAAATAAAACAAAACGAACAGTAAAGACAAAAACCAGAGCGCGCACACACCCAAAAAAAAAAAAATACAAACGGACAATAAATAGGAAATAACAGACTAAAATACTGTCAATACTCCTAAGGAAATGAAAGAATCAATAAAAATACATCTACAAACTTTTAAAATACACAAGGAAAACTAAAAAATACATACAATTATACAAAGAAAGCGTAAAACACATGAAAAACATTTAAATGCAAGTAATAAATAAATTTTTTGTTTCCTTTCATAAGGTGATTTACCTGTTAATTTCTTATCAGTTTCCCTGTTTAATTCTTCAAGCTGTTAGTTCAACCTGCTCAACTATATAGAGCATAACATTAAAATATAAGTACTAAATTGTAAAACGAACTTAAATATACACAACCAAGACTAAAAATACGTAGAAAGAACACACAAAAAAAAAAAAACAAAAACAAAAACAAAACAAAACAAAACAAAACAAAAACAAAAACAAAAACAAAACAAAACAAAACAAACAAAAAAACCAAGAGAAAAGAGAGGATGAAAAATATGAGAAGTAAAAACATGAGCAGTAAAAAAAAAAAAAAAAGTCACAAGATCAAACATACAAAGGGTTTCCCTGAACTCAAGTATACCCTCTCCACATTTGGATCTCACTGCACTTTATTGTCTACAACATAAACACCAGGCAGATCCCTAAAGTTTGCTCCCTAACATAATATAGATAATGGCTCAGCAGTTTTTGAGGATCAAACAAAACTACAGCTTCAAAGAATTTTTGATACCTTGGCTTTCGGAATGTGACAAACACATTGATAATCACTCATCATTTAATTGTAAAAGAATTTTTGATACCTTGGCTTTCGGAATGTGACAAACACGTTGATAATCACTCATCATTTAATTGTAATAGACGGTGATCATGCAAAACTATTCCAGGCAAACCTACATCAAAATCCAAGCCTTCTAAACTGCTGGAATTCAGGCCCAGCTTTCTAACATATTCCATATCATCCCTCTACTCATTATTCTCCACCTACAAATAACACACCATATAAGCGAAAATAACCACAGGTACAATATTTGACATATTGAATACCCTAGAAAGAGCTCTTTTCTTCAACTTGGTATCATGTCCTTCATCATATACAACACTGTTTAGCTGCATTCATGAAAGAACATATATTATCAAGATTGCCAACAACAGAGGTTAACATGGAAGAACTAATTATGCATATTCTACCTCAAACTCAGTAGGAATAACACCTCTCACAACAACATTATGAGTTGGCAATGGATATTGTGGCAATTTCTGCGAAATGAGTAAGCAAATCTAAAATCACAATATATTGAGGAGATTTTATTACCTCTCCTGGAAGGGCACCCCACATGAAGACACGCATGCGAAATTGTGGGAGTCCATATGCTCCAACAGCCATCATGTGCAGCCGAGTTTGATAATTCATCCCTATCGGCTTAAAGTGCATCTCCCAAGAAAACAACATTTTCCCTCAAAACATATCTTGGTCTCAAGAAGTCAACCATGTCCATAAACACTTTAAGCTGCTTGTTTTTTGCATCTTGTAAGGGTTTTGTCCATAAACGGTTGAAACCACTGATGCTTGACAAGGAGTCCCACATATAACATCAACACCTCCCTATGAGAACAGAGCATTAAAAAAGTTACCCCAAAGGCACACAGAATATTAATTAGAGAAGAATGTAGTTGGAAGAGGAAAAGGACTTACAAGCAAAGGGAAATATTTTACTTTAAATCCATTTACCACAAAATCCTCTATTTTTAGTTGACAATCACTACATACCATAAAAATAAAATATATATTAATTAACACAAGTGAATCTTAATAAGTTTTAGGTTACCATTTTCAATTATACCTCAAGTCCTATAGGTTCCCATGTGTCATAATCTGCACCATAGACCTTCGAATGTATCTACGAAAAAATGGAAAGCACAATAAGGTTGAGAAAGCAATTGTATTTGAGGCCTTTCTAAAGAAATAGCAACTCACAGGAGTTTCAAAATGTAACTTGAAGTATAGTCCAGGCTTTTTATTACAATTACGATCTCCATAACAAACATCCAAAATATGTTCATCCTCATACACTTCACCATTTCCATCATTTTCAGCGCCTTAATCATCATCAGTATTTTCATCCCCTCCCTCTCCATCAATGTTTGAAATGTTCAAATAAGGATGCGGGGGGCACTTTCCTTTTATTAACAAGCAAGATACACAAAGCTGCTCCCACTCCTTCAAAAGGGACAAGAAATCTTCAGCAGGCTCATTCCTCACCTGAATAATAACACCACCACAAATTTTATTTAAAAATATGCATGCTCTAAGAATTAATAAATAAAACCTACAAAAGAAAAGGAACTAGAGAGGATAATGTTACATTTGTCTTTGGATGGTTTAACCTCAGCTTTCACATGCATACTGATTCAAATCAACTGCACATTTCTGCATTTGAAAATTTAATACAAGTTAGCAACTTGTCAAGCAAAGATAAGTTTTCAAAAGCAATTCAACTTACAATAACCAGATTAACACCACAACCAGAATACATATCAAGGAGAGTCATTTCAGAACTATCCTCATTAGCTTCTGCAGATTCTGCAACATCCATCTCACTGGAGATGGTAGAATTGGACTCACTAGAAGAAGCTGTAACATCTGCATAAAAATACGTAGAAAGATCACCAAAAAAACACAATACAAGTATTAAATTGTAAAATGAACTTTGGAATACTCAACAACAACAAAATAAGTAGAAAAAACACAAAAACAACAACAACAAAACATATTCCATATTGAGAAGTAAAAAAGATATATATAGAGAGAGAGAGAGAGAAATTATCAAAGAGAAAAAAAAATGAAAATCAAAAAAAAAAAAAAACAAAAAAAACAAACAAACAAACAAACAAACAAAAAGAATCCAAAAATAGGGCCCACCTTCAAGGATTTTGTTTCAATCATGTTCCTTGTGGAATTGAAGGAAAACAAATCCATTTGCCTGGGGAACAAGCTGAAAAGGGACTTCCCACGAGGCAATTAATGCCCAAATGGGTTCAATGTCCAGCAAAAGAGCATAAAGGCCAAAGGCCCAGTCCTTTTTTTTGTAAAGAGATACTTCTCCATTAGTTTGCCATAAAATTTCCAATTTAAAATCAGGGTCAATCGTTTGTTGGCTTTCTCTAAACAGATCAGCCTATTCATGGATTTTCCCCAATTTTACCTTGGAATTTTGGGCAATTGGTCTAGAATCCTCTTTGACAGTATTGTCGTGAACCACACCAGGTGGCAGAGCAGTGCCTTTTAGATTGCCATTAAGCTCAGGCACGATGGGATCAAAAGACGTGGCTTGGGACGCAGGAATGATAGGACTGGGAATGGTCACACTACCAGCAATGTCCACACTGAGGAGGTCATCTTCACCAGGGATTTGGATTAGGTCCACAGCCCAGACTAAATTAGTCAAAGCCATAGAGACTAATCCAAAAGAAACAAAAAATAGAAATTCAAAAGAAAACACAAAGGTTGACTAATTAAAAGATTTGGGGCAGACAACCTGTCACGTAGCAGTTGTAAGTCCCAAAAAAGGGGGATTTCGAATCAGAAAATCCACCTTTTTCAGAAGATCAAACAGTCACTAGTACAAAATGAGTCATTTGCATCTTTAGTAAATGACAATAGGCATCTTTACTGCACAAGACGCGTATGACATAGACATGTAAAGTGCCAACTTTACGCGTCTTTACTAGTGAGACGCGAAATACTGGACACTAGGCACATTTACTAACCCAGTAAAGACTCCATTAGTTATTATTTTTAATTTTTAAATAAATATTTATATTTATTAATACCATGTGCAATAGAATAATTAAATTACAATATTTAACAGAAAATTCAATTGCCCAACACTTCAAACCATTAAATACATTATATAATAGAATTGTCCAACACAATAAATATAATCCTACATATTCTAATACAATTTAATATTATTATTATTAATCCAACACTAATCTATCACAATATATATAATCTAATTCCATCTAAAACACATAATAAAAATTTATACTCCAAATTCAGCAAACCAAACTGTAGGTAGTAAAGACTAAAGAGGTGTAGTGTAGATAAGTTAAAAATGAAGCAATTTGCAAAATTCCAACAATTTCGAGCATAAACAAGGATTCATACCTTTCCACGCTCAGTTCCATTTGAGAATCTCTCATTTAAGAGCTTAAGAGCTTTCTTCCAACCAACTCTATGTCCATTTAATGCTTCATAAATAACCTGAAAACCATATAATCTTACTTTAGAGAAAATGTTATATCACTGATACCCTGGCATTGTAAGCTAAAGTGATCCTATGGCAACCAGAACTCAGAATTTTGAATCAGCTTCAACACTTTCCTCTTCTGCAATCTTTTGGAAAGGAAATTCTAAATTTAAATATAAATCAATAGGGAGGGAGAGAAGAGGTACTAATGGATGCAACAACTAGGCTTAGGTCATTACAAAGTGAAATTAGTAGAACAATAGATACCTCAAGAGCTGCTGAAAGAACTTGAGATTGACCTTCCTCATTCTTCTTTTCAATCAAAATTTTTAAAAAACAACAATAGGTGAGCAGCATGAGGAGAAGTTCAGCAAGAAAGCAAACAACATAAATCAGTACATCCAGTGAAGATAAGATTTGAAAAAATAGATGTTGCTATACTTACTTGAGTACCATTGCCGAATAAGAAAGTTGTACATTTTTATTTTATTTGAGGATAGATAACAGCTCGAGAAAGCATCTAGAATCTACAAAAAGAATTGACCAGGCCCCAGTAGATGCTAATTCAGAACATTCAGAAACATTATAAAATAACACTAAAAATCGTTAAAAAAAAAAAAATTAAAAAGGACACTTACATAATCGATAAAAAGGTAAATAAGAATCAAAATTTTTTAAGAAGTACACACATTAAAACAACAAAACTAAAAATACATTAAAAAGAAAACCAAAATACCATAATGAGCAGTAAAATTTTTATAAAGAAAACAAGAATACTTAAACGAGAGAAATTAACTAATAGAAAACAAAATGAAAAGCAAAAATAATAATAATAATAATAATAATAATAATAATAATAATAATAATAAACAAAAGAATCCAAAAAAGGAAGGAAATTGAGAGGAAATAAGAAGATTGCAACCAAGTAAAATTAAAATCAATTTAACAGAAAAACCATAGACATATTTATCATTGCAGACTCAAAAAGTGTCAACATTACGCTTAAAATAATTAATTTTTGTAATATGTGTATGTACTAATTAAAGATGCATCTGTACTAAAGCTATTACAAAGCCTATTGTCTTATTTTAAAAAAATATATATATTAATTGTAATTTGAAAGTATAAATTATAGGAATGTACTACAATTATGATTATGATATCATAAATTTATATAAATTTGATGCTATAAATACAGTCAAAGTTATTCCTAAACAAATTAGTACACAATTAACCCGTTTGGACATGCGTAACTACAAAATATTTGACATGTAAAAACAATCTATTACCCACAATGCTCAACAGAAGCAATAAAGCATACTTGAGTTTTGAGAGAACATATCAAAGTAACATGTTTGCACACAACATATTAAAGCATACCTTTTGAGTTATTTCTTCGTTGCTTTTTTTTTCCTTGCATCACGCTGATATGGATGGAATACCTTGGTATTGATTGTCAGTAACAGCTACAAAGAAAACAATTCTTGAGACTGAGGGAAAAACTCCGTAACATATTATATGCAAAAGCACACATAGGGAGGAAGAAAAAGATCAAAAGACCTTAATAATAATTGGGTAGAATATAGGGAAAACAACAATGGCTAGCAGGCTAACTATTGGCGAAAACTTTGCACCGATGCTCAATCCATACCATTAACAAATAGACCGGGGAATAACCTGCCAATAAAAGGTGAAATATGCATACAAGTGGCATAGAAACAATAGTAGATTTACTCAACGTTGTGCAAACTAGAGAAAGAGTTACTTATATTAATATACCACCCCATGTAGGCAGAAGAGCATCAATAAATACAGGGCAAGGCCTTTTGGAAAACAGAAAAAGATTTAGCACACATAATAATCAAGAAGAAGCATGCATTGAAATTCAGATAACACACCTCCCTAAAGAATATTGACATTGGTGACTATTATTTCTACAATAGCCAATGATGATTAATAGACCAATCAAACATAAAACCTAGCCCTATACGGTAAACACATCTGAGATTTAGAGAAGCTCAAATTCGTTAATCAAAGAGCACAAATGACAGAAGGTAATTTAACTGTTAATTTCTTATCAGCTTACATGTTTAATTCTTCAAGCTCTTTCGTTTATACCTCTCCCACTTAGACTTAGTTCAACCTGCTAACTATATAGAGCATAACATCAAACACAATCAACACATTTTTAAGTGACCAATTTCAGACACAAAATAATAGAAACACAGAGATAAGAAACAACATCATTTGCTTGCTTACTTCAATCCTTCTTCTGAAACCAGACTCAAAGGTAGGAGACCAACTTTCATCAAGAAATTTACAAGACTGCATAGAATATCAATATCAAGTGTTTAATGATAACCAGAAGGGTCAAGAGACAATATACGTTACAGCAAGTTATAAGGACAACTCAATATTCAACGCTTGGTTGAACTAGGATTCACTCACGCTATCCATCTACATAAATTATAATGAATAATACGGAGTAAACACTATGCAAAAACTATAGAAATTATTTTTTTACCATTCCAAACTCAACCAAACAATGGAATTCATATTCCCAGTAATTTCTTTTCCATCAACCAAACAATGGAATCTATTTTCTTGGAATTTATTTTCCATGGAATTTCAATTCCATTTCCCTTCAAATATTTTCTAGCGAACCAAACAAGCTGTAAAATGTAACAGCACAAACAGTACTAGGCTACTAGCTAATAAACATCTTAAGAAGAAGTTGCCAAGTTGACCACTGAAATCCTAAGTCCTAACAGAAGAAATGACATGGAGCATGTTCTTAGCATCACTTGCTACCCATCTTTTCTTTGAAAATGAATCAATGAAGAATAAATGAAAAGTGGAAGCAACAAGCAAACAGAAGAAAACCTCAACCCAGTAACCAACAGGTTCACACTTGCATACCATGGCATGAATTTGAAAATCAAATTGATCAACATTTTAAATTTGAATCACCTGAGTATTTATTATTCAGGGAAGGATACTAACCTCTCCACGATGTTTTATTAACCAATCATAAAACAATGAATTCTTGAAGAGATTAGTCACAGCATGGATGCTTGTTAGAAGATTTGCAGGAAGGGGAGGATTAACAGTCACCTTCTTGTTCAACTCAATGAGTGTATCTGGTGAAAACAAATAAAGGACTAAGGCAATTGCCAACCTCAAATGAGAGTTCTACAATAAGCATAAGCAACAGTATAAAAATTACTAGAAAGAAAATCAGATACCATTGTGGTTGACATGTTTGAGTAGGATATTTGCCCCATCTGGTGTAAAATTATCATCCTCAAGATATCAATAACTGCCAAAAGAAAGAAGCAAATAATAGAACCTGTCATCAAACCTTAACGAGAGGTTTTTGAAAAATAATAATAATAATAATAAAGTACTCTGTAAAATAAACTAATACCATAATTTTTAATTTTTATTTTAAAAAAAATGGAGGAACTTCCAACATAAATAGTACAAGAATTGCATAGAACATGACTGCACCCATGAAATCTCTTAGTACATGTTCTAATGGAAACATTAACTTTAGAATGAGAAGATTACCAGGAAATAGCATTGATAATGGCCATGTCTTAAGCAACCTCAGAACCAATGCAAGATCGACATATGAAAATCTACTGGTGTGATAGTGTGATGTATCTTTTCAGAATTTTAACAATAGCAATCTTGATAGATCAGCATCATTTATTGACAATTTATTTCGTCTCTCCTTCAGTAAAGAACCATTTATCAAGAGCAAGTCAAGATAATTATAATTATAAACATCAAATTGTGCTGCATGACCTGCATCAAATACAAGCATCCCTTTCTGGAAGAATGAATATGTATATCGTCTTAGACAAAATCATTATAAAGAATAGCCCTAATCATAGGAGTAAAAGTCTCTGCGAGAAAATATTATTACCTTAGGGACATGCTTGAGAGTAGGTTTTGCTGCAGTAGCTGTTGTTAAGCCACAGTGAAGATAATTCTAAATCAACCTTAATTATCAAAGAGATACAAAAAACCAATTCAAAATAATTTTTAAAAATATATCTTCACTCAATCACTCCGTTCTTCCGCGGAAACCCATTTTTAAAATAATAATAATAATAATAATGATTTTCTAAATACATCAAATACACGCCAAAACCACCAATAATATATTCAACTAAACAAACAAGTATAAATTGTTTTCTAATTTATTCAACTAAACACACAACATAGCAACAAGAAAGCACAAAACTGCAAGAAAAAATGGGGGCAAATTTCCGTCATTTTTAGCCATAAAACACGCCAGAGAAACACAAAAAGTCAAAAACTCACTGAATCAATCTTTAAACTCCATTAATTCTTCCTAGTCGGGGGAACAAACACTCACTGAGTTAAGACTAATTTAGTCTAATGCAGCCACCGCCGGAGAAACAAAGAAGCATATCGACAAAATAGATAAGGAAAAAAATTAAAACAAACATTAGAGAGACTGAGAGAAGAAAATAATATAGAGAAAGGAAAACGGTGGGTAAAACCTCTGGTACAGCTTGAGCACCAAGGGCCGCGCCGGCCTCCGGGAAGACGCCGAGTGGTGCGTGGAAACCGCCAAGCACCTCCGCACCGCCTCCACCCCAGATCTAGATTTTTAGAGAGAGAGGCGTAGATCTGGATTTTTAGAGAGAGTGTGACGTGAGAGAGGAAACTGAAAAATAAAAGAGAGGCTGATGAGAAAGTCTCTGAAATATAAAATCGAGGCGATATTTAGCTACCCTTCTTTAAAGAAGCGCAACGGAAAGATTTTTTAAATTTATTACTTTTCGTGACCGTTCTAAGTAGAATGGTTACGGAAAGTGTATTTTATTTATTTTTTAAAAATTTTGTAATTTTTGTGACCGTTGCGGAAACTATGTGTGTATTTTTCAAATTGTGATTGTTTTATTTAGAAATAGTCACGAATTCTTATTAAAATATTTTTTTGAGAACAAATTCTTATTAAAATATTGGAAAAAAAGGTCAAATAGGCCATCGAACTTTAGCTTAAAAGTCAATTAGGCCCCTCAACTTTTTAAAGGTGCAATTACACCCATCAACAATTCATTTAGGTGCAATGAAGCCCAAAAACAAGTTAATGACCTGCTATCACAGGTCATAAGGGTTCAGGCCACCTTCCAGCGAATTTTCCGACAAAAAAAATGTGACCAGCAACCGACCTAGATTTGCCAAAAATTTCGCCGATCACTTATTTTGTCGAAAATTTCGCCGGTCACTTCTTTTTTTTTTTTTTGCCAGAAAATTCGCCGGAAGGTGGCCTGAACCCTAATGACCTGTGATAGCAGGTCATTAATTTTGTTTTCGGGCTTCATTGCACTTAAATGAATTGTTGATGGGTGTAATTGCACCTTTAAAAAATTTAGGGGCCTAATTGACTTTTAAGCTAAAGCTCGAGGGCCTATTTGACCCTTTTCCCTAAAATATTTACAATTCTCTACCTTTCTTTTTTAGGTAACAATTCTCTACCTTTCTTTTAAAAACAGTAATTAAAAGTTAGTCTCGTATGTTCTTTTTGTACTAGTGAATAGAACATCATACGACATTAATTCTTCAATTCAAAATTTACAAAGAAACAAAAGCTCATGCTTGATGAATCAATCCATGAAACAGTAAAATCATGAGGCATAATGCATCTTTATTACATTTATGAATAAATAAATTTAAGATGCAATAAAAATTTAAACTCTATTTCAAATTAATCGCATTACAAACAACTAATTCAATCTAAATATTTTTTTCCAAAAAAAAAAAAAAAAAACTCAATCTAAATATTGCTTTTATTTATTTATTTATTTTTTTGCTGCTAATCCCTTTTGCATATATAATTTTTAAATACTAATAATGAATTCTGTAAAATGAGTAATAAGAAATACTTTATTTTATTTTTATTTTACCTTAGCTTCAAACTTTTAGCACCAAGAAGATGAGTATCTCTTCAATTTTAATTTTTTCCAGTTAATGTCTACTTTTTTACCATCTTTATATGTGCTTGATTTTGTTCTTATAGGCCTTGCTGCATCTTAGAGAGTGAGCAATCTACTTGTTAATATTTTTTCATGATAATCTTCATGAGACAAATATCATTAGTAAGATTGAAATTAATTTTGGATTGGCATGCATGTGGTGGGAGTTAATATATATATATATATATTATGGGGATGGAATCGGAAGGCATCCACCAAAACAAATTTTAAAAAATAAATAAAGGCATTGATATTATCTGGATCTACCTTTGCTTCAAAATGATTACAATCTGGGATTAAAAAAATTAACACAAATTAATTTAAAAAAACACCATGAATTACAAAACTTCAAATGGAATTAAAAAAAATATTTGCATACAAAGATTGAGCAACACAGATGAAACAAAGAGATATTTGGCCAAAAAGTCACATTGATGCAACTCAATCCAAACCTGAGATAAAATATATGATTGGTAAATGGTTGTTAGCTGTTAGCTGATTATGTTAATTAGAAGTATAATTGGTTGATAACATTAGCTGTTGTAGAAAAGTGTTTGATAAATTAGCTGATAGCTGTTTGATATAATTTCTTTTCTAAAAAAACTAATTGAAAAAGTTGTTTGGATTAACTTTTTGAATTTTAGCATTTTAGAATTGCAAAAAGCTAATTAACCAAACACTTATATTGATATTTTAACTAAATCAAACAATTAATAATGGTCAAATAAGTCAAAATTATCTTATAGGCCAATTTTTACCAAACAGTGCCTATATGTCTGTAGCATGAACTAATTTTGTAATATTGGTTGCGATATGATGACTTATTTATAATGTCAAAGCTGGTATAGAGATGAAAGGAACAACAACATAATAATAATAATAAATTTATCCGATCCATTTGTTAATATTAAAATTAAACCTTACACTTTTTTGATGAGATTGGTTTTTTATGCTTTAGCTAACCATACACATTTTTTTTGTAAAGAAATCACCGACAACCAAGAAAGAATGCATGTAATTTGTGAAAAAAAAAATGAAAAAGAAGAGAGGCAAATACAAAATGGAACGTAACTAAAGCTACCTATCTAGGATGTTTTTATCATCCTCGTATTGAATCATTCACGAAAACAACGTAGTAAACTTAAAAATAATGTACACCAGCAAAGTATAATTTTTACCCACCTCTATATATATGATAATTCCTCACTTGATCATCCCTACTAATTAATTCAACCTTTGCTTTAATTTATAAATTTGAAGCAATTGAAGATGTCGATAAACAATAATGTCGATGGATCTTTTTCATTGAATTCTCCCCCCCCCCCCCCTGCACAGCTATAATAGAATCATATTTGTGGCGTGTGTGGGAGACAATATAACAATCGCGTGCCAAGTAGCCTTCGGGCACATGAGGCTCCATGGTGTGGGTGGAGATTTTAATACATAATAATGATCGATGACAACGTGCATCATGCGTGCATGTATTCTAAAAACATCTAAATTGACTTAGAGAAAATGATCATTTTTATATCAATTATCAATCAAACTGAGAAAATTATCAAAATGGTCCCTTGACTACCTTAGTAAAAGCATCCGTCTGAGTAGGTTCACTTTTTTGTTTTCGTTTGGATTTAAAATTAATTTAGTTAATTAAATTAATTTTAGGTAGGTGATGCGTTTATTTTTAACATTTTTTAAAAGTTATTATGCTATTGGTTTAATTCAAATTTTTTATAAGCCAGCTTAATTAATTAAATTACCTTAAACTTCACCAAAACATGAACTTTGCAAATATTATATGAATTGTTATTTAGTTTTGTATAAATTCATTATTTGTTTTAATATACTTGACCTTAATATAATTAAGCCCATTACTGTTTATGTGAATATTGGTTAATTCACTTGAGGAAAAAAAACAATTAATAATTGATTAAATTGAATTGAAAATTGATCCATTCAGAATTTGAACTCATGTATACAATAATATTTTTGGAACCTGACTAATACTTGTCCCAAGAACAAACCTGACTAATACTTGATTAGATTACACACTATGCGAGATTGTCTTAAAGCAACATTATCAGTTGGAGAGAATTGGGGAAAAAATGTAAAAGTGATTAGGAAAGAGAATGGGGGAGGGAAGAGAAAAAAACAAAAAACAAAAAATAAAAAATAAAACATAATTTAATTAAAATTAAAAAAAAAATCTTTTAATGATTGTCAAGCGCGCCTAGCGGGCGTGTGCAGTGCACGCGCCCGCTGGGCGCATATTTGGCGGTCACGCACAGCCTGCGAGAGTGGAGCAAAGGGAGGCTTGGTCCCACTTTTTGCAAAGCCTAACATTATTTCTTCATTTGCAGGATGATTATTTTTTAATTATCACATTCCCACATCAACTTTGTTCTTCACTTTGAGAGAATTAATTATGACATTAACTCCCAAATCTTCTCTATAGTGGATGCTCTTAAAAGAGTATTCTGAAACCACCAAAAACAGACAATTTGGAGAAGGACCAAGAGAAAAGAAAATTAACACCCAAGGAGGCAAAGTGTGATCAAGCTTTTATTGCTATACAATAATTCAAAGTCCCTTAAAAAGAGATTTGTATTTATACTAGTGCAAACTCATTTTCCTTTTCAATATGTGGTAAGGGCTTCTTCCTAGTCTTCTCATTTCTATTTTTTCAACCCAAATGCCTATACTTTGATTAAAAAAAATCTTATTCACTCATTATCTATTTTGAGTATACAATATATGAATTTCTTCGGCTGACAAAAATTCGAATCCAATTTGTTACGACCCAAATTAAAAATAGACCTCATTAATATTTGTACCACAAAATGATCACTTACACCACCTTTTTGCTAAAATTTCCAACATCAACGTAATGCCAATATTAGTTTCACCAATTTCAAACTATCCATCTATAGCTTAAATTGTTTGCGTATGATAACAATATGAAATTGTCTTAAATATTATATTCATTTGATTTATGGGAAATTACACAGCCAACAGTGGAAGCTAAGGGGCGATATGAAAAAAACCTGCCTTGTAACATTACATGAATATTATACTTCGATTTTAATACATGTACTTTAAATAGTATTATTTATTTCTTGATATAACGATATATTATTATTAGTAATGTGTGTTTCAATTGTTTTTTTTTTCTTTTATCTATTTACCACTATCAATCAGTTAGGAGAATGAGATGAAATGAAGAAAAAAAATGTTTTAATTTGTTCTCTTCCGCTTTCAATTCATTAGTCTTTTACATAAATGTTGCACTTTAAATTGTACTATCCTTAAAAACCTTCGACTGATACGATGACTGCAGACATAACTCAATTGGAACTTCGTCCAACCAACTCTAATGAATATGGCGGTTAATTAGCTTATTAAAATTTGAATATACTTAAATTTATGGACTATCTTTTTCTTTTCTTTTTTTAATGAATGATGCCTCGATTTAACAAGTGCTATTAAGATTTGAATCGACCTTTGTTAGGAATTAGGATCAATACTCTTATCACTACATCAAAAATTATAGCTAATAGTGAAGACATAACTTTATTTTCTTATAGACCGCCATCACATTTTTTAGAGGCAGGGTGCTGAACATGGCCCTTCGTTGGCCTCCACCCAACAATTCCCTAGCCACCAATTGATACCGACT